GACTGAGAGACGCAGCTAGCACAATGTGGAGACGCAAGGTATCCTTTTGGTTTCCCGGTAAACTAAAAAGGGGCGGAATGAGGGCTGTCAGTTGCCTGAGGGCTGACAGTTGCCAGCTTTTCCTGGGGCAAGATGCCAAAGGTGGTTTGTGGTTGTCTTTGGTTTCCTTTCAAAGAAGGTACCAACCCAAAACTGAGGCACTCATTTTTTTTGGGAATGAGGCTGCTTGGTAGTGCAGTGGTGAATGTGAAGCTTCATGGCTGACCTCCTGGCAACCACTCACCGGAGCCATTTGGCACTTGCAAGTGCATCTTTCGCCCGCGAGCATCTTGAGCCAGGCCGGTTCTGCAACAAGACAGAGTGTGAAAGCATGGCAGTGCTTGAGGCAAATGACGGGGGCGTACTCCAATGGCAAAGCGCAAGGGCAGGCCGGCCTTGATTTGAATTGGCAGAGGTGCAGCTTGGCTTTCGAGAGGTACAAGCTGCCTTTGCGCAGCAAGCAGATTGGGAATCTGCCTGGCAGCACCTGTGCCAGCATCCCCTACTGGAGGCTGGCATCCTGATGCACCAAGCGTTACGATCTGCATGGCTCAGGATCACTATGGAAGCCTGCTGAAAGAGCTTGACCCGGAGGCCTGACGTTTGCCAAAGACCAGTAGCACCTGTTGCGATGTGCGTGAACGGTGCTAGAGGTCCTTGCAAGATTCCCGCATTTGCCTCCCCTTAGACCCAGGATAATTGGTTTCACAAGAGAAGCACATTTGGGTTCCAATCAACCAATGCAACCCTGGTTCATCGCCTTCTGGCTTGTCAGGCTCTGAAGATTCTCCAAGTGCGTACTATGCTTCCACTCGCCCGGGCGGCCTATGCAGCAAAGCCCAGTAGTGCTTTATCTGCTAAGCGCTCTGGCATCCTTGCAGGCTCATCGGCCGGAAGAGAGTTTCGTTTGTCTCCAATTGTAGAACGTACTAGGCCCCTTTCGCATCCTGGTGCCGTTTTTTGCCGCACTTCAAACGGAATCGAAATGATTGCCTTGTAGAAAATCCTCCAAATCAAATAGCTGAGGAAAATTTTAGAAACTTGTCGTCTGTCTCGGGTCGCACAGCAACTTGCTGAGGCTTGAGGCTGAGAGGGTTGCAGCAATTCAGGAACGTTGGCGAGCAATGTTGGTGGTTGAAGCCAGCGAAAGCTTTCGGCGAAAGTGGTTGAAGACAAGCCTGCCGCGAAAGCCTCGCGAAAGTGCATGTTTGCAGTTTCTGGGTTGCCCGCGAAAGCTCCGCAAAAGTGATCATTACAAAACACATGCCCGCGAAAGTGAAACGTGTGGCCGCGAAAGCATCGCAAAACGTTCCGCTAAAGCAGCTTGCCAGTGGAGGTTTAAAAAATAAGCTCTGGTGATATCCCCAACAGCATGCGGTGCTCTTTGTAGTCCTCGTGGAACCTTACCTGAGACTGCCCCGAACCACCCCAGAGCCAATCTGGGCTGAGACCCCAAAGCTTTCAGCTGTTGGGGAAAAACAAAACACTATTTTCAGCATCGCTCATTTGGCGACAAGTCCGGGATATTGCGGAGTGACTTGTGCCCACAGGTTTTTCAGAGGTACTGAGTATTGTGATTCCCCTTCTCAGTTTTCTTCCAGCTCTGGGGGTCTTTGTTGATCGGGGGCCTTTGCATGGGTATTGGCTTGGAGATACCAGGCTACAGAGCTTTCGCGGCGAAGAAGGGCATAGATTGGGAGGCTGGCAACCGGTACGCTCGGTGACCACACAGTGATGCCCCAGGTGGCACTCCAAGTTTTTTGGTTGACACTGACTGACACGAGCGGATGATTGGAAATGGGTGGCCTCCGCATCGTGAACTGGTGGGTTTTCGGCACACTCGCCTGCTGGCGGATGCTTGAGGAAAACGACATGACAGACTTTCCGTGTCCTCAGGGTTCCCAGTATTTCCAACGTTGGATCGCAACATCCTTTTTGTATGGTAGCTTCCTTTTCGGATTGTGGCATCCTTCATAGATGGTAACTTCAATTGTTGGGATGTTCGGTCATTTTGCCTTTGGCTTGATCTTCGGGGAAATCTAGCTGGCTCCAAAACATCCCATATGTGTCATTCTTCCCCAAAGGGTGCGAGTTTCTTCCCAAAAGGGTGCGATTTTTCCAGATACCCTAGAAAGCATCTGAGAAGAGAACTCACTATCCCTTTTGATCTAAAGTCCATTTTTAGGTTGCAGAATGTTGGGTGAGTGTCCTGTGTGACCAAAAAAGCCCAGTGTTTCGTTGGTGACGTTAAAACCCGTTGTTTTCCTTTGGCACCCATGGCCAGGGGGCGGCCGCCGCACTGGAAGATCGCCAGGTCTGGGAGCTGGAGCGGCAAGCGGTGCGCCGCGAGGCAAATTTAAAAACAACTTGATGGTGTGGATGGTCATGAAACCTAGCAGTTGTGGACAAGAATTGTAAAAGCTTCCTGCTAAGGAAATCTGTGGCTGCTATCAAAGAGTTCTCAAAGGGCCCAGTTTGTCACCCCTTTCACGGAAATCTAGTTGGGTTTAAGTCTTCCTTGGTAAATGCAATAATCGAAGCCATGGTTGATCACGTGGAACCCAAAGAGCTCGTTTCCCTTTAGCTTCCCACCAGCAAATCCACGATTCAGAGGGACACTTGTGGTAGCTCCTTGCCCCCGAAGAAACCCCCGGCCCTAATGATGAGTTTGGCATTTTGCAGTCTATTGTTACAAAGCAAACCACACCCAGTAGTGAATGTCACTCACCAAATTGAATATACCCATGGCCCCTATCAATAGAGCTGTCAGCAATTCTGATCGTGGCCCTCATCCACATTGACTTTGGGGGATCTGAACCTGTCATGTAGAACAATTCCAAAACATGGTGAAACACAGAAAAGCCCTTCTCTTCCCAGTTTGATCCAATGGTCCAGTTTCATCCTGCGGTCTCAACCCCGCCTTGCCGGCAGGTCAAAATGCCCGACTACTACCGCGAATGCTATGAGGGTCCTATTCATTCGTACGACACTGGTGCCTTGGCTGCTTGATTCGCAATGTGTTTTTAAAGTATCTGATGCCTACTTTGTGTTTGACGCAGCCACATATTTCAGTTGAACTCTGGGGAAGTCTTGGGGGCACCGATTGGGGCTGTTTGAGTTGGTGTTGGCCTGTTGTTGGCAAGGAACGAAATGGGGACCGCATTGGAGGGGGGGGGTTAAATGCATGGAGATTGAACTGTTTGAGATCCAAACTCGGGGAGCCTTTTTGACAATTTGTTCGTGACTATTTCGGCCTTGGATGCCATTCATTGCTTGAAGCTCGCATTGTTTGAGCGTGCTTAACTCATGTAGATTGGGATGTGGCTTGGAGTCCTGGGATTGAGCAGATGTGGCTCGTGTTCGAAGCATTGAGGAATTTGAGCAGACGTGGAGGCAGCTTAGGCTGTGTGCCGGAATATGTTCGAGCATGTTTGATGCGTATGCTTGAGGCATTGTAGCAAAATGTGAGCTGAACATGCAAGATCCGTTGTGTTTTGAAGCATGCTTGAGAACTGTTCGAGGTATTGTTGGCGTGGAAGACGTTGACGGTTTTGGCAGCCCGTTGATCCTTTGGGAGTTCATTTTGGCGCTCATTCCATTTTGGGAGGGCAGGTCTTAAAGGATCATGCATGTCCAGCTGGGTGCTTGACAGCGTCTTGCCACAGCTGGTGCATGTTATTCTTCGGACCATTCGTTTGACTTGGACAGGGCATGGCTTGTACCAATCAGCCCTGTTGAAAGAGCTCACTGCGAATCACGTTTGTTGTACTTGCACAGCAAGAGCTGAAACTAAGGAAACGGATGTTGGAAAGCTGCATTCGATGCTCCTTCAGCGTACTTGCTGGTGCTATGCTCAGAGCGGTGTCAGTAGACAAACAGCCTCAGAAACGATCTCCTTTCAATCCACCTCCTGCGTACAAAATAGTATATCATACCGGCCATTTTGGAGCACACTTCTGCCACCAGGTGAACAAGATGGAAACATGCCCAAACTCCCCGACAGAGATTTGTTGCGAGGGGTGCGTCTACTCCCTATCTTAGCAGGAGCTACAGGTGGTAGAGCCAGACGGCAACCAGTCAGCATAGTTTGGAGTGCCCTCAGGTGCACTTACATCATGATCCAGATTGCACTCCACAGGAAGCCTTTGACAAGCTCCACGAGGCACATCAAAGTCAATATGTCCACCAATTGGGTTCCTCGCAAAACTGATTCACGCACGGTGGCATTCTGTGCCAGGAGTTTGACAACCTAGCCTTAGCCCACTTGCAAGGCAAGGAGATGCCGGGGAGCCCATTGAAATGGAAAACTCGCACGTGGAGTCGTATGTTTGAGGCTACCCTTTCACCTGCTTGGAATCGGGAAACAAACAAGTCCGCTGCGCTCCCCCTACCTTGACCCTATTGGAGATTGGATGTCACACTTGCAACAAGGATATGGTCATCAAACGGAGGTGAAAATATGCAGCAGTCTATGATCCATTTGAGACTCATTTGGGGGACATGGGGAACTCTCTAATTGTGTCACAACCAGGAGGCTCTTCAATTTACCATGTAGGGTAACCGGCCAATGTTGACTGTGGAATCCGACCGAGGACCCGGGAGGGACCCCAGGGAGCTTCCCCTAAACGCTGAGGCTGCGCTGCGTGGACATGGGCTGTGGCGTGGGGACCTCCACCTTCTCTACTAGACGGTCACTCGCCATGGCACTCCACGGATCGAGGTTTCTATTGAGTCACCGTGGCCCGTGTTGGGTCTGCTTTACCCCCCTTTTTGCCCCCCCCCCCCCCGCCGGCAAATCTGGAACTAGTCACCGGGGGCACTCTCAGATTCCCCGTACTTAATCTAGTATTAACAATTCTAAATTTGGTATGGCACAAGATTCACTCTCAGATTCCCTGTACTCAATTTAGTATTGCCAATTTGTTTTTCGTATTGCCAAGACGGACTCTCAGATTGTCCAA